GCTGCCGGGTCTTCTCCTGGTTGCCAGGGCGGGACTTGGGCTGGGACCCCTACAAGGAGGGGGAACCTTGTCCTGCCCACCGACCATGTGCGGGAGGGAGTGCGATAGGGCTGCTAGGAGCCACCAGCAGCTGGTCGGCTACTGGGGTGGTGAGGAGGATGTGGGGTGGGTTGGGGTGGCGGGAGGAGAAAAGCCTCGAAGCTATCAGCACGGGAGGACGGCGGTGGGAAGGGGCCAGCCCTATCCGCTTCTACCGAGGGCCTCTGCCGTGTCACTGCTGGGCCGAGAGACCCTTCCAGCCCCTGTCCAGGAAACCATGGCCCACTTATCCGACTCGAGCGCCCTTCCCTTGGTTTGGGGGAGAAACCGCTGAGCCCTAGGTGGGGGGTTGGTGTCGTTACCCCCGTTGTGCCGCGGGGTTGGTGCAGAATGGCGGGGCACCCACTGCTGGGCTGTACACTGCCAGTTCCCAGCAGCCTTGGCCGTGGAGAGGCCTCTGGCCACCCCAGCCCACAATGCTGGTGTCTTCAGAGCCTTGATTTTAGGCGGGGGAAAGGAAGAGTGTATACAGCTCTTGGCTCAGAGGGCGGGCCTGAGTTCGAGGCTCTGGTGTGGTGGGGGGTTTTGGACAAAGTGAGCTCCGTCGATTTCTCCAAGCTTTGGTGTTTTAGGGAACTGGCCCTCCAATCCAACTCCCCTGAGAATTGGAGGAGTGTGTGTGTGTGTGACTGGTGTGTTTGGGTCTGGGCTTGCCCTTCCTCCTCCCCTGTGGGCTAAGATAGGGGAGAAGTGGAAACAGGACCCTAATTGTGCATATAAAGAGTTGGCTTTAGCTGTGACTTCCTGGTGCTCGAAAGCCTGGGGCTGACCCTCGGACCCACAGCTCTGGGAGGGGAGATAACCTTGTGGTCCGGCTAAAGTCTTGAGGTTTTTAGCCTTTTTTTTTTTTTTTTTTTTTTTTTTTGGTGGATTTTTTTTTTTTTTTCTTTTTTGGTGGTACTGAGGCTGGAACCCTATCTTTGAGCTACATCCCTATCCTTTAAAAAATTTTTTTAGAACCTTTTTATTCTCAGTACTGGGGATTGAACCTAGGGCCTTCACACTGAGCTACATTCCCAGCCCATTTTTAATTTTTTAAATTTTTGACACAGGGTCACACTAGGTTTCCCAGGCTAACCTCATACTTTTGATCCTCCTGCCTCAGCCTCTCGAAGATGAAATGGGATGAGATTGCAGGTGTGCACCGCCATGCCTGGACCTGCTACTTTTTCTTACTGGTTTTCTGTGAGAGAGAACAGGACCCTGGAAAGTTGAGTCCCTGCTGTTCTTCTTGGGGACTGAGGTGGCTGTAGCACTGTGGTAGTTGAGAAGGGTGGGCGTATGGGGGTGCACTGGCATTTAGCAGGAATCTAGAACTAAGGCTCTCAGATCTGGGGTCCAGTGGCTGCTCTGGTCTGGGAAGAGCAAGGTCAGGTCCCTTCTCAGCCTCTGAGCTCTTTGGTGCTGTACTTTATTTAAGGGGGTTGGGTTGGAACTGGTCTCCTTTTTGGTTTGGGTGCCCCCTAGGCTCTCAGTCCTGGGATCCCTAAGAGAAAGAATACGCCAGTCCTGGTGCTGTGCCCAGACTGGGCCTTCCTGAGACTATTAGAGATGGTGCTAGAGCAAGCCTAGAGAGCCAATGACCCTAGTGCCACCGTCAGTCCCTAGGCCTAAAGGTGTGGATAGCTGGGTACAGGAGTGTTTTTTAGGGTTCTGGGAGCTATCAATGCGGAAAGCTTGTCTAAAACTGCTTCCTAAGGGCCAGGGATTTAGCGCAGTGGTGCTGCCTGCCTGCCTGGCAAGCACAAGGTCTTGAAGTTCCAACCCTGGTGCCATTAAAACAAAACAAAACAAAAACCCCCGCTTCCTAAAATTTCTGTGTCCTCAGCATTTGCCTGTGGGGCTTCATCCATATCCTAAGCATTTTGTCCCTTTTCTGGACCCGGGTTTAGGGACTGAATTGAAAAGTTTGCAGGCTGGGAGGACTTGCCAGCCAGAGGTGATGGTGTGCTGGTAGGGTCAGCACATGGAAGCTTGGTGCCCCTGAGATGTATGTGAGCAGGAGGGTGTTGGACCTTGGGGGGGGGCAAGAAGCAGGCGTGTCCTGTGTGAAGCTTGCTGGCTATTTGGGTAACCGTGGGGCCCAAGGAAGGGAAGACCACCTTTTGAAGAGGCTGAGTTGCCAGGTTAGGGGAAAGGGGGCCTTTTCCTGACATTTGGGGAGGAGATGTGTTAAAAGCTTTGATGCCCACTGAAAGTTTAGGGCAGCAGGGAAGAACTAAGGAGCAGAGTGGCCCTTTTCCTAGGACTGTGTGTCACCTTGCAGGTGGGTCTTGCCCTGCTATGCCGGAGCCCCAGGCCCAGGGTATTGTGTCCTAGGGGTTTTCCGTGTCCGTGGAGGGCTTCTCCTGTAGTCTCAGGAGAGGGGGCAAATATTTTTATTTTTACAGTAGAGATCTTAACTTTCAGAATACAAAGTAACACGTCTGGTAGTACTGGGCACCGAACCCAGGGCCTGTGCATGCTAGGCAAGTGCTCTAGTGCTAAACTCTGTCTGCGGTCCCCTCCCTTCCTTTGTTTTTATTTTGAGACAAGGTCTCAATTAAATTGCCCAGGCTGGCTTTAAACTTGGAATCCAACCCTGCCCTAAGTATCTTAGAGTTATGGGAGGCTGAGGCAGGAGGATCACAAGTTTGAGCTCAGTTTGGGTAACTTTATGGACTTTGTGAGACTCTTGTCTCAAAATAAAAAATTAAAAATGACCTGGGAATGTAATATTGTGAAGTGCCTGGGATCATTCCTCGGTACCAAAAAACCCCCCAAAACAAAACCCTAATACAAACAAAAACTAAAGCAATAATAATAACGAAAAGCACAAACACTACTTTATCTTTTTTACCTTTTGGTGCCAGAGATCGAATTCAGGACCTTGTGCTTGTGAGGCAGGTGGCAGAACCACTGAGCTAAATCCCTGACCACAAACACTGCTTTAACGAGGATTGAAATGTGTGGGTCAGCAGAGTGTTTTCCTAGCAAGCACAAGCCTCAGCCCCCCCCCCCGCCCCATAAAACTTTATTGAGGTGTGATGAGTTTGGAGATCCTGGTTGTCTTTTCTTTCCTCCTCCCTCTTTCTGTCTGTCTGTCTTGTTTAATTTTTTTTGAGGAAATCTCATTATGTAGTTCAGGCTGGCCTTGAGTGCTCAGTGATTCTCCTTCCTCAGCTTCCCCAGTGCTAGGATTATAGGCACATTCCCAGCCCACTTTCCCCTCTCTTCCCCTCCCCTCTTGTGCTGGGGACTGAACCTTAAGAATGCTAGGCAGTTGCTCTACTTCTAAACTACTACCCCTTACAGTAATTTTTAATTAGGGAGCACCTTTGGGGGCTGATATTTGAATGCTTAGATTGAGGCAGTATAAGTTGGATTTGTTTTTTTTCTTTTCTTTTGGTAC